CAACCTGCGCTGAGCACTGCCAGGTCTGTCCCAGAACATGGAAGGGAGACTAGCCAGAGGGGAGGGGAGCCCAGAGCCACAGTGTGGTGCTAGGGGGCGCTGAGTGACAGCGAACGGGCAGGGGGCTCGATGGAGGGAGGAATGGAATTAAATGGAGTGAGAATTGGTCAAGGACCCAGGGCTGGGCTGGCATGGGGCTGTTGGTCGGGAGTGAGGGGCACTGATAGACCTCGAGGTGGGGTTGAGCTCAGGGCTGGGCTCGCAGGGGGCTGCAGGTCGGGAGTGAGGGGAACCGGCAGGGCTGTGGGGTGCAGCTCAGGGTTGGTCTCTCTTCTCTATGGGTCCCACTTCGATCCCTCCCCATCCCCTGCAGGGTCCCTGTCCCAGCCACCGGGATTTACCCTGGCAGTGCCGCAGTTGGTGTCGGTGCAGGAGGGTCTCTGCGTTCTCGTCCCCTGCACCTTCACGTACCCAGCCTCGTATGACACCGACAATCCCTCGGCCCAGCTATACGTACACTGGTACAAGGAGCCTGCTACTGTGGGCCAGGATCCTCCTGTGGCCACCAGTGTCCCCAGCACGGGGGTGTCGCAGGAGACCCAGGGCCGGTTCCGGCTGACGGGGGATCCAGCGCTCGGCGACTGCTCCCTGCAAATCAGTGATGCCCGACGGACGGATGTGGGGAGATATTTCCTTAACATCGAGAAAGGCATGTTAGATCACACTTACCGCTCCAATTCCGATGGCACTGACCCTGCGCTCACGATCTCTGTGGGAGGTAAGAGCAGCCGCAGTCACCGCTTGTGAGGGTTCCCCCCAAGCTCCTTCACCCCCTTTCCTGTGGAGGCTTGAGAATAATATACCAGCCAATTGGTGAGCAATGTGAGCACAGACCAGACTCTTTCTCTTCTGGGAATCAATCAGGTTCTTGAAAGAAGAACTTTATATATATAGATATATATATATATAGATATATATATATATCTATATATATATAGATATATAGATATATAGATATAGATATAGATAGATATATAGAATCAGACCTGCAAAATCAGTTTGGAAGGTAAGTTCACAGGGTAAATAAAAGACTTCAAACACAGAGGATTCCCCTTGGGCTCACCTTCACGGTTACAAAAACAGGAATCAAACTACATCTGTAGCATAGGAAAATTCACAAGCTAAAACAGAAGATAACCTAACGCCTTTCCCTGCCTACTTACAATTTCTGTGGTTTTAGATCAATTATTCCAGGTACATTTTCAAGAGATGTTGTACCTGCTTGGACTCTCCCTCTGTCCAGAGAGGGAACAACAAAGAGACAGCAACAAACAAATCCTCCCCCACCCCCACAGATTTGAAAGTATCTTCCTTCCTCGTTGGTCCTTCTGGTAAGGTGCCAACTAGGTTATTTGAGCGGATTAATCCTTTACAGGGAAGGCGATTTAGTACAGCTGCCAAAGCGGGATTTTATGCTACTACATACATAAAGTTGTTACTCTTCCCTCTATATTTATGACACTTCTCTTCAGCCCCCCTGAGCCAGCCAGTCCCCGCCCTGCGGCTGGATCGGAGCCAGTGCCCCTAAAGGGCAAACGCCCCATGTCCCTGAGCGATTCTCTCCCCGTGTCTCAGAGCTGATGGAGGAGCCAGAGATCCAGATCTTGCCGGCGCGGGGGCTGCCAGGGACGCTCGTGGCCGGTAAGCCAGTGTCTGTGACCTGCACGGCTCCAGGGCGCTGCTCCGGGATCCCTCCCCGAGTCACCTGGAGAGGGCCGTTCAGCGACACAGCCCGGAACGTCTCAGCCCCGCTGGCAAACGGCACCTGGTCCCACAGCTCCGCGCTTCACTTCACACCCACCCAGGGGGACCACGGCAAAGAGCTCGTCTGCATCGTCACCTACAGCTCAGCACAGGGACCTTCCACCCGCAGAACCGTCCAGCTCCTTGTCGGCTGTGAGTGACCCACCCAGCCCCTCCACACTGGCGCCAACTGCCTATGCTGGGATCCCCACTCCCCCCTGGGCCTACCAGCCCTGCCCTCCAGCCCCTCCCACAACTCTGCCCTGTGCTCGGATCCACACCCCCCACCATGCACTCTCAGCCAATTCTACTCCAGCCCCTTCCCTCCGCACCTTGCAGCCCCTTCTCCCTTGGGATCTTCACATCTTCCTGCCCCCCTTGGCTATGGCTCCCCCCATCTCATACTCAACCCCAGGCCCTTCTCTCGTGGGATTCTCTATACCCTGTGTGGTGTTTCGATGTTGCTTGTGTAACCCTTCTGCCCATCTAACGTTTGGCAGCAAC